TTCAACCTATTCATTCCCATGTCAAAATTGAACCCCCTTCCCCTCCCTCTCCCATTTCATATGTTACACCCATATATTCCCCTCTAACCAGCGAACCATCCGAAAACAACGACCCAGACCACACACAAAGATCACATGAACTTGATAACTCCATAACACTACAACAACAATTACAACACCCTCAAACACTAACCACTCACCAACTCTCACGATCTATAACATCATCCAACCCATCAACCTCAACTCCCTCATCAAATTATACACCTTTCCCAAAACCCGACTTCCTCATCAACCCCATCATTTAGTAACAAACGCGCTTACCGAACCTTTAAAAGAAAATTCCCAAATACCCCTTTCCCATCTAACCCAGCTCCACCTAACTTTAGATAGCAATTTTGTTTTGGCTCCCTTGCTGCTGTTCGTTTCTTCTCGCAACAAGTTTCCTTCACATCCCATGTCGTCTGTCTCCAACTCTGCCTCCCAATCGATTTGTTTAAATTTTCCAAGAATGTGGGGCTCGGTCCGTTTTTTCGTCGTGGTAAATCCATCGGTCGAATTTTTTGTAATTTGACTAACTGAATGCTATTGCAGAACTGTGAGAAAAAATTCAGTTTTGTTGTATTCGGTTTTTTGCAGATCGTTTTTCGTTCTGGTCAAATTTTGTTCGGTTTTTGACGTGTCCGTTGCCAAAACAACCAAATTTGTCATTTTGACGTAACTTGAGCTGTTTGTGTTCGCAATTGTTCTAGTTTCGGTTGATCCCATTGCGTACATTTAGTCGACTGTTAAGGCAGCCTAACACCTCAATGGAGTTTGTCAGTTGACGCGACTCCGATCTTTTCTTTAAAATCTATTTATTACCAAGGGTCCTCCGACGGGTCTCTGGAAAGGTAGTCTACGATACCCATGTCCTCTCCGGGTAAACGTATGATTTCAAGTCGGAAAGATAACTACCCATTTACTCCTCTAGTCAGTCCAGACTGACAAGCTTTATTATCCTATTTACTCCTAATGCTGATAACAGAGCTGTCTAGTCTGTAACAATCGTAAAGCCTTTTCCAAGGAGATTGTTCCGAACTTATCTGTTGTCCATATAACTGCTAGCAGTTCTAGCTCATTGGCTGAGTCATTCTTTTCCTGTTCATTAGGGTAATCTTTTCTAGCACTGCCCCTAATCCCTCTTTGCTCGCATCGCATTTCACCTTAATCCTCGCGATGGCCTGAAAAAATGGGTTTGTGAAATATACGCCAAAGCTTTTGTATGCACAGCTGACCATCTGAGCTTTGCGCCGGTTTTCTTACCTTTTTATTCGTTTGCTCTCCTCTTATTTTTTTAATGGTTGTCTTAGACCGTTTTTCAAGGTAGCTGCATTAGCTATGATTTTCGTCAAAAATTTCTGCAACCTAAATGTGATCTCAATGATTTTGGGGGTTTTCAGAGGTTTTAATTTCAAACTAGCTTATTTTCGTTGGTTTTGATTTTACCCCGTCAATTGGCAGTTGGTGCCTCAGCCAGTTAAAAATAGTTGATGGAAACTCGGATTTCGATGCTTTCAATGCCAAGCTCTCTTTGTCTTACATTTCCATGACGGTTTTTACAAACAGGACGTGTAATTTTTCCCTCACTTTTGACACAACTACGATGTCATCTAGAAAGCAAAACGTGCTCCTTGCACGATTTGGGGTACGGTCCATTGTTTTCTGGAACTCTGCTGTGATGTCGGCCAGATCGTAGAAACCGGTCAGGAAATGATGTGTCCCTGTAACATTGCCCTCATTGATGTTACAGTAAAATTGACTGGCTATTTCTGCAGCTAACTTGAGCTGGCTAAAAGCACACTCTAGATCTAGTACCGTAAAAAAACGTTCCTTCTTTTTTCTCGATAAAAATCTGACTCAACCCGTCTTTTTGTTCGTCCACGCTGGGCTTTTGAAACTTATTCTGGAACAACTGCCTACTGATGGGTTTCGCGTCTAAAGCCAATTTTTTTGCGTCAACTTTAAAACTGTATAACCAATAAGTGCAAAGAACAGTCGCTGGTACATTTGCCATTTGTTTGTATATGCCCCTCCTTTAATAAGTTTTCTATTTTTGTTTCTGTTTTTGCTTGAACACGCATCGGGATATGTCTGCTTTTTACTGATCCAGGCACACTGGAAAGTTAATTTGGATGTAATGAAATATTTTTTGATATTCCTTTGCAATTGAAGAGCTTTTGAACTTTCCAGCTAGCTCTTCTAAATAGCCTCTTGGTTCTTCGTCCTCGCATTGCACTAGAACAAAACGGAGTTTTGGACGTGGTGCCGTCCTTTGGGGAGTAAAAATTCCTAGCTTTCCTTTTAGACCTAACCCTATGATGCATCTTGTTTTTCTTTCTGTTATCAACAGACATATTTTTGGAATAATCCAACCTGCTGATATCATTTTCATTTTCAAGGCTCAAAAACTTTTTATTCGTTTTTATTCTAGTCAACAAATTGCCTATTTTTGTTCAGCTTTTCCCCGGGGATTAGCTTTGCACCTGTGATGACTCCTGTATCTGCTTCGCTGTAGTCCAGTTGATGAAGGAAATTGAGTTCCCCGTATCCATCGTCATGTGAATAGTGTGGTTCGAGAGTCTCTTCCAGTTTCAACCTTTCAATCTCTTAATCTCTTTGATTTGCAATTGCGCTGTGGCTTTTTTATTCTTACACGCATGACTCAATCTCGGCCGGTTATTGATAGCCATAACCATTATTGGAAACCCCTCTGAAAAATTCGCTTTTTTTACTAAATTGCATTCCTCCCTTAATTCTTCCGATGAGTCGTTGGTGATCTCATTAACCTGTTTTGACCTACACGTTTTGGAAAAATGTTTGGCTTCATGCAGCTCCTGCAATGCTTTTACCATCGCCGGGCAGTTTTTTGAGTTAATTTTACCGAATTATCTACGCATCTAGTGCATGTTTTTTTTCATCTTCATCTCGTTCACAATTAGTGCACTTTTGTTTCTACGGTAGATGTTGTATGAGGAACTAGTCTTCCTATTTTATCAATTTCGAACATTCAATGCTGTCTCTTCTTTAATTTTGATCTGAGGTCTCGAACTTGTTCCAGATTGACTGTTGTTTTTTTGATACACATGTGTTGCTTGTTTAATGTTTTTAAACCACTGTGTTTGCTGTGTCTCGCACGCAGGAGTGTTTTGTAGTGTTACATTCTCCATGCGTGACATGAACAAATCCAGTACTACCTCATCCTTTAACATTCTCAGTTAGGACTTGGCTGCTCAAGCAGTTAGTGCAGCGTGAGTCAGTTCTGAAAATTCATTCGCTTTGTCTGCCCGTGTAGGCCTTTTTTATCTTTTATGATTTACACTCTTTTCACTTTTCGCAAATAATCGTGATTTTAACATGAAAATCTGCTGTGATTTTTCTACATGCGGGCTGATCAGTAGAATTAGTTTCTTTCCCTCCGACCCCGAAGCTAGGAAAAAACGTGAGACTAGATTCTGTTGAACTTCCGCAAAGAAAGAGTGATGCAGCACTTTTGGGCCTCTCAGCTTTCGTTTTGTGTCGGTTTTTCCTCTTCCGCTTCAATATTTTCTTCACTTTACGCTTCAATAATTTCCTTTGCTTGTTTGTCTTTTTTTACTCTTGCTGCTTCTACAGTAGAAGATTTTGATGATTAGGCTGATTCCTGTCTTGGTATTCGTTCTAGTATGACCACCGCATTCGATGGCTCTAGAATTATGCGAGGGTCTACATTTTCCTTTACCGTAGCAGCCGTCATGCACTGATCTAGCCAGTTTTTAATCAACGATGAAGGGTTCGAAGCCGACGCCCACTAAACCCGAATACCTAGGTCTGTTCTCTTCTCCTGATTTGTTTATCCTGCTGGCTCTGCCATGTGATATCTTTTAGTGTGAGTAGAAATCGTATGTCCGTTATACCGAATCCATAAAAAAAAAAAAACAATAGGTTTTCTATTTGTTTTAGATTACCGTATAAATCGTCTTCAATAAACAAACACAGTGACTTAAGTATCACTTTTCAGATCAAGCGCGGCACGGCTGACTTTGGTCAGGACCGGCCTTACATCATTTTACGTAACAATACTTTAGAGACGAATCGGCAGCTGCCGTAGCAGGACCAGACCTATCATCCTATATTACTGTTAAGATTGAGATAGTTAGTTGATACGGACGGAGTTTTAAGTTTGTTCAAACCATCGCACAGAGGTTAACGACCTTCGCATAACTTTTGATAGAACGTTTTTTGCCAGCTGTAAGAAAGTATCAAACAATTTCAAATGAACGCAACTCGTTTTCCTTTAAGTTCAAAATTAATGTTTTTCAGGAAGAAAGTTAACTTTTTTAACACAGTGAATCACGTTCAAAAGGATCACGTTCTCAAATGAAAAAAAAACAAGCTTTCCTTTTGAACAGTTTTTAATCAGATAATGTAATTTTACAAAGATGGAAAATGTTTCAGAAAAAAAATTGAAAACTTCTCTCCAAAAACAACCGTGCCTCGAAATCTCCGGTGAAATGTTCGTTCTGTTTTTCTGAAAAGATATTTTGCTTTAATCTTTTTCAGTAGGGAAAATTAATTTGAAAAAAATGTCATGCCACATTGAAAACTTTGTTTTGAAATCAAACTTCAGGGTTTTTTTTTGTTTTGGAAAGACAGTTTGCTGCTCCTGCGTGGTTTGTTGTTGATTTTTATTAGCTCTAAAACGGCAAAAACGGCATCTAATAAATTGCCAAGCAAAAAAATTTTTGCAGCCTCAGTTTTCATCTTTTGTTTTTAGTTCACGTCCGTTTTCAAATCAAATTGGAAAACGGATTCCATCTATTTGCGTCTTTTTTAACTGTTGTCTCATGGTTCAGTAATTTTTTTTGCTGAGCAGCGCCGTTTTAATTATAGTTGGTACGTTAGCGGAAGGTGAACATTGAAGCATCTGCAAAAAAAAGAGACTCGTGCTTTTTGATAGCTACCGAGTCAATTTAACGGATATTATTTATTCCTTCTGTTGAGGATTTGTTTTGGTAACAGTTCGTTTTTTTTTTTGCGTTTTTCCAAGCTTTAGCAATTTAATAAATCCGTCGGTGCTTGTAAGGTAAGCTGTATTTTTATGCGCTATAAAAACTGGGGACTGGATCGAAATCTTTTGAGTGCTTTCAGTAACAACCAGGCAGCTACCATAACAAATAATAAACTGAATCCAAAACAGGAAGCTGAACCTGTCGTAAAAAACAATAACCTGTTTAACTGGATTAGTATTTTACATATCTAACTAGCCACCGCCGAGCATCGCAGCCTAAACCGATCTAAAATAAATAAAAAAACATACAGGCAATCACAAACAACAATATGGCAGAGTTTCTGGACCACTTGAAATCCACCAACTGGGTCGACTGGAAGGGCTGGTTCTGTGCCTGCTGCTGCCCCTCCTACGCATTCGCCAAGATATCTTACCACGTATGTTTTATTCTCTCATTCTTAATTTTTTTAGGATGTTCAACACATGTTAACACGCTGACGCAACATGTAAGCTTTGCATATGCAAGAATAGTTTTTCCACCTTGGAAAAATTTTGAAAGTAGGAGCTTTTAGTTTCTGTAAAAAATTTTGCAATGGTTTCCAAGCATTTTCTCGAAAAATTGCAGTTCGAGGAATTTCTCGAGGAAGGCGGTTTTTCAAAAAAGCTCAGCACAGTTTTGTCGACTTTTTTTAGGTCAACTATAATAACAAAAAAAGATTTTCGGAGCTACCTTAAGTCTGATATTAAAAAAGGGTTGGTCGACCAACAGCGGATATCTTTAAGCATTAACAAAGTTCAAGGGTAAGATTCCTAAAAGAAAGGGGTCAGTTTTAAATTTTTTGAGACAATTAACAGCAGTAATTAGAAAAAGTTAAAGAGATAATTTATACTTTTAACACTCCCTTTAGAAAACTCTAACAAAAAACTTATCCAAAACAAGACTGCTCATATCAGGGCGAAACACTGAATGTTCCGACTGCCTTTTAAGGTCTATGGAGCAGCTATAACATGAAAAAAATATGTGTAAAAAAAATAATTAGTTTTTTTTAATTTAAGATTTTGTAAAATTCATCCCCCCACAAGCCAAATAAATTACAAAGGGGTAGATTTCGCTCCTATTAACACATCAATTATGGCCAATCAGCGCTTCTTTCAACCAATTTGAAACAATTTCTAACACGGATTTAATCTCCGCATACGCATTAATAGCGCCAAATATATCGCGCGTCAATTGTCCCAAATTGACCAAAATGGCAATCTTTAAACCCCTTGACTCTACTAAAAATGATCACAGGTGAAATATCTTTTCAAATTTAAGCTCAGAACAACAATACCTTTTGAATGATATTAAAAAAATTCCGTCAAAAATGCCATTTAAAAAGTCGAAGCTTGTCTGAAGAAAAAAAAACCCACCCCGAGAACAAATATTCCGTTACTATCGTATCGAAATTCGGAACAAAAAACTCTCAACTTATAGAAATAGGGGCAAATATGTAGCTAGGCAAAGTGTTTTAACTTCATACTGTTGTTTATCTTATTATTTGTGATAAGACATTCATTTGGGTTTGTATGACCCAAAAAGTGTGCAATCATGGTTGCCGAAAAAAACACAACTATCTTAACAAAAAGCCGAAAACAAAGAAAACAGAGCTTCTAGATTTATAAAAACATAGATGCTTTCTTCCTTTTTTCCCGCTTAAACTGAACCTAGATCGAATCAAAAAATGCGAAAATCATAATCTTTCGTATTGTCTTTAGGTACCTCATTTTGCGTGAATTTCTTTTACCCAATTTTCTATGTCAGAACCGTATCTTAACGTGTAAGTAGGTTTTTATCCACCATAAATTGAACTTTTTCAGATAAAAATTTTTGTTGAATTTAAGTAGACCTTGTGTAAACTTTTCTCAAATTTTTCTCAATAGCAAAATTACAAGCTGGCATTCATTTCAACAAAATGACTTCTTGAAATCTTGCCAATGACACTGACCAACGAAACAAACACGACAAATATTTTTTCGTTCCGTCTTTGGTCTTACATAAGTTTATCTTTCACGCAAAATTAGGTAGCTTTATTAATCATCAGCTGGGCGGAATGCTAAACCGTTTTCAAAACTTTAAACTGTTTTTCGATTGGTTTTTTGTTTTTCAGACGAACTCTAAGATAAGATTGTGAAGTTGAGTTGCTATTCAACCTACGACATATACCGTATTTTAAGTTTTCAATAGTTCTATATTACTTACGTCGTTAATAACTAGTTTTTAAAACTTCTGATAGTGCCTGCCTGTCTTTTCAAAAAAATTTCGTTATACTTGAATTTCTGAAAATATAATTGTGATCATAAATTTCTGTGCTACTTTCACGGCAACCAAATATACTGAAAACAGAGTTGAATGAGAAATGTTGTTTCCATTATATGGCATTAGTATAGCATTAAATGGATTTTATCATTGTGCTTTGGTTGTTTTAAGCTTAACGCAAAAATGCCCAGTAACAGGGGCGGATCCAGGGTTTTCTCAAGGAGGGGCCGGATTTTCGGGCGGCTTTTTTTAGGTCGATCATGTTGATTTTGTGTTTGAACTCTCTGAAATCACCATAAATACCCCATTTTGACCAAATTTTCTGCGCCGCAGGCAAGCTTTTGAAAAAAAACAAGCCAAAAAAGGCGTTTTTAGGCACTTTTTGGAAAATTTTGACCAAAAATACGCTTTTTTTCTGCGCGCCTTCCCCCGCCCCCTCCCGCCTTTAGAAAAATTTTTAGGTACCTCACCATAAATAGATATCTCTAAATAGTACAGAGGGAGAAGCCCTGAGAAAAAGCGTCGGCCCCCTGCCCCCTCCCTAAACCCGTTACTGCCCAGTCATACTTAAAAACTCAAAAAAAATCAAAAAAAATCTCATTGTCTGTTATTAAACCGAGTCAAAGCTAAATTGTTTTTTGTTCAGACTGCGTTAGTTACCTAAAATCATGTACCACCATTGAAATTGGTTCGCTTTTCAGTTTGACGATGTGACTTGACTGTGTTTCAAATTTTAGCTATTGTCTCATGTTACTTAAGACGTTAAAAAATTTCTTAGAACTCCTATTAGTGCTTGTTTTTCTAACTATTATATTAGTGCTTGTTTTTTTTATAAGATTTGCACAAATAATTGTGACCAGAAGTTTCGATACTATTTTCACAGCAATCGATTACACTGAAGTGGTTTTGAGAAAAAATGTGTTTCCATGAAATGGGATTAGTATGGCATTAAATTGATTTTTTCCTTTAAAAAACTATAAATTTCCGATCCTGTCATCAAAATGACAAAAAGAGTAACTCGTCACCCATGATATTTTACCGCTTAAACGAAACAAAATGACAAATCAGTTTTTGTGCTCCGTTTTTGATTTCGAGTGTGGTCGCGTTTCATGCAAAATCAAGTATAACAAATAAACGTTAGCTGGATGGAGAGAAAAACCATCCTCAAACCCTTCGACTTGATGGCGAATGGTTTTAGTTTTTTAGACGGTTTCAGAACGAAGAGTGTGAATTATAGTCGCCCTTCATTTCGATGACGTATAGTGTATTTTTTAAAAACTAAATAATGTTTTGTATGTTAAATAAGATATGAATAACTTCTCTAAGCGCCTGCCATTCTAATTTAAAAACAAGACTGCTTGTATCAGGGCGAAGCCCTGAATGTTCCGACTGCCTTTTAAGGTTTATTGAGCAGCAGTAATACATAAAAAAAATGAAATAAAATAAAATGAAATTTTTTTTTTTAATTTGAAAATTTTATGAAAATCATCCCCCCACACGCCATATAAAGTACAAAAAGGTAGATTTCGTTCCTTGTAACAAATCAATTATGGCAAATAAGCTTCGTTCAACCAATTTGGAACGATTTATAAGACGGATTAAATCTCCGCTTACGCGTTAATAGCGCGAATTATATCGCGCGTTAAAATTGTCCCAAATTGGTCAAAATGGCCAAAATGGCAATCTTTAAACCCTCATAACTTTACGAAAAATGATCACAGGTGAAATATCTTTTCAAATTTAAGCTCAGGACAACAATACTTTTTGAATGATATTAAAAGGTTCCGTAAAAAATGGCTAGTTAAAAAGTCGAAATTTGTCTGAAGAAAAAAAAACCCACCCCGAGCACAAATATTCCGTTTCTTTCGTATCGAAAGTCGGAACAAAAACTGATAATTTTTTGTTTAACTTGAATTTTTGCATAGATAATTTTGTTCGAAGTTTTCTGTGCTAATTTTACAGCAACCGGATACACTGGAAATAGTTTAAAACTCGGATATACTGGTGTTTTATTGATCAATTATGTTTCTATTATATGGCATTAGTATGCCATTGAAAGAATTTGTTGGTTAATTTGAAGCAAATTCATTTAATTTTTTCCCGCAAATACGCCCCAGTGATACTTAAAGACTCAATACACAGTGCCTTTCTAATATAAAAAAGGAGTAATCGAAGTTATAAAAAAAATAATTAATTTCTGTCTAAATTATATATCAATATAAATGTCAAGAATTGTATCCAGCGCAGTATGTTTGAAATAGATTATAAAGTGATTAGACATTTCGTTTGTCTTCGTTTTTGAGCTTAAAAACTTCGTTTGTCTTTTCTGAGCGTAGCATCATTAACAATCTGTTAACTTATATTAGAATCTAAATGTCTATTGGAGCCGCCAATTAATTGCAATGTTCTGACGATGAATGATGTTGTGTTGTAGAAGCTACAAGAGGACAGTTTCCGCATGTGTCTCGCCTGCTACTGTCCCTGTCTGTTCGCTTGGTGGTACATGAAGGCCCTCGACAAAATACCAGAGAACATGGGCACTAAGGTATGCACAACACATCTATTCATTGCATGTATTCGACTTCGGTCAACTTTTGTCCATTAAGAGCATATATTCTATATGAATCAGCTTTCATATTTAAATTAAAATCCTTTAGCGCTTTGACGTATGATTTTGCGAGCATGAAATTGGGGTCTTAACTGTGGGGCCAAATGGAGAAACTTGACTAATTTGGAGAAACTGTTTTAGGGGCAACTTATTTTCCTGATTCTAGAGGGAGTCCATGATTAGGTGTTGATCTTCTATGGTTAAAGGATTGAATACATTGTGACTTTATTCCAGATCATGGCATGCTGCTGGACATACTGCTGCCCTACATGTGCAGTGTACGTAGCAGCAGTAGAAGACGGCATGGATCCCATCCAGGAGGCCACGAAGTGTGTCGAAGTAGTCAAAAAAGTTGTCTGCATCAGTAGGCAATAAACAACAAAAACAAGCAACCGAAAGAGAAGAAACAAACACATATTGAAGCGACTAGCGTGAACATTTTTAGCAACAGATTGTTCTTCTTTTCTTCTGCGTGGCTTCTTGTTGAACCTCAAATAGTGCGCTTTAGAAGCAAACATCAGAAAAAAAACGTTCTTCCATTTCATAGCTACGGAATGTTTTCTCTGTAATAAACGTGATAGCAGAAAAATGTTTTGTTTTTTAAATCAATTACGAGGTAAATCTATAAATCACCAAACTGAGCGACGTATAGCGAGAAAAAACCAACCAGACAGTCGGAAAAACAAGTCTTTCGAAAGTCTGCTTGTATCAAGGCGCCGCGAAAGCTCTGAATGCTCCAATTGTCTTTTATGTAGTATGGAGTACTGTTCGCTTTAAAAAATAATGGAATAATATATATCAGAAAATATGTTAAGAAAGCAAAGTATAAAACAAACTAAATTTCATGCCTCAGTTCAACTCAGAACAATTTTTAATACGGACTAAATCATTTAAGACAAAAGGTTTCAATTGTTGCAAGATAGCTGTGTTGCAACCTTAAACCTCCATAACTTTACTAAAAAAGGATCAGCAATGAAATTGGTTTTTTTTTAAATTTGAGCGCAAATATTCTTTCCCTTTCCCCCGAAAGTCGGAACAACTACATTGCTGTCTAATAGAAACGCCATTTCAATATTACAGCTGCTATTGCTGCAGTTGTTCTTCAATTACAGCAACCAAATTGTCCAAAACTTGCCACTCATCGAATTATTCAATCTAAAAAATTGCAGAAAGAAATTGATCTTAACTTAGACATAAAATTGCTACACGATTTTTAAAAATCTCTCTATGTCTCTCTCTCTCTCTCTCTCTCTCTTTCTTCTCCTTCTCTCTCTCTCCCCCCCCCCCCCCCCCCCCCCTCTCTCTCTCTCTCTCTCTCT